TATGAATGATGATTCATTGTAATATATATATATATATATATATATATATATATATATATATATATATATATATAGTTAAAGAGCAATGAATGTTATCTTTTATGTTATTATTTTTTATTTGTTATGATTCGGATCATTGTCTTTGTTTACAGTACATATTTAAATTTAAATTGTTTTATGTCTAAGTAATTTCGGCTTTCATATTGTAGAAGCATATACTTCAGTAATAATGTATATATAAAATAAATCTGGAAGCTATTCTTGAAAAGAACCTCCAATCAGTGGTTAACTGAGGCAGGAAATGGTTTGTAAATTTTAAAGCCACTATAACAAAACTGCTATCTTTTAACCAATATAGAGAATTTTTTCTCTTTGACATCACCATGGCTGACACTAGACTCCAGAAGTGCAAGACACGACGCCTTCTTGGGTTCACATTTTCCACTGACTTGAAGTGGTGCGACTCGATCGAATCAATTGCCTCGTCTACTGCAAAGAAAGTTGGGTCACTGTGTCGTTCCAGAAAATATGTTCTCGTCAGAATCCATCTTGCACACTTACAAATCTATGATTCATCCATGGATTGAATACTGTTGCCATATCTGGTCTGGTGCTCCTGCTGTACATCTCGATGTTCTTCACAAAAAACAAAGAAGGGTCGACGATGTAATCGATCCTGAACAAGTATCTCGACTTCAGTCATTTTCTAAGCGGCGTGACGTGGTTTACCTCTGTCTTTTCTATAAATATTGTCATGACAACTGCACTGACAGAGGTTTTTCCACTAGTGCCCTGTTTTTTTTTTTTCAATTTAATTTGGTGTATGCGTTATGTGTGCATTTTTAATGTTATAGAGATGTTTTTGTTTTCCGAACACAGTTAGCACATTGTGGCTTAGTAATATTATTAAGTGTTGGTTTTTTCTTTTTTTATTATTAAGGCTTCCATTGAAGCCTTAATAACAAAAATGTAAAAGCCAACACACACTCACACACAAAAAATATCATCCTTGATAATGGCTAAAAGTATAGACGAAAGCGCTCGGAATTACAGAACATTTAGACAGTTTCTACGCACTCTGTGTCCAGAAAAGAAACCACTTGTTCGAACACAAGAAAAATTAAATAAAAACTTAATCGTAGTATCTTGTCTGTCGTATTCCATTATATTTCCATTACTGCCTAAATACACCATATCTGTATCTATCTATCTATCTATCTATCTCTCTCTCTCTCTCTCTCTCTCTCTATATATATATATATATATATATATATATGTATATAGATATAGATAGATAGATAGATAGATAGATATAGATAGATAGATATCTATATATATATATATGTAGATAGATAGATAGATATATAATATATAGAGATAGATATCTATATCTATATCTATATATATATATATAGCTAGCTAGCTAGATAGATCTAGACACACACACACACACACACACACACACACACACACACACACACACACACATATATATATATATATATATATATATATATATATATATATATATTCCAGCTACAGACGCACTGTATTTTTGTGTGTGACTTGCAGGTGGTAATACGGTCAACGACTAATGTGTGTACTCAATACGAGTTAAAAGAGAGAAGAATAAAATTTAATTAAAAACCTTATACAATGATGAAAAAAAATATGATTACGTGAAAACATGGCGATTATGTGTTCTGCGGTTTGTTTGCAAGGAATAAAAAAATAAATAAATAAAACATGAGAGAAAGCGAAATACTTGAGCCCGCCGCAGACGCGCTCTTTTTCCACTCCTACTTAGTATCGTGACTCAAATCTCGCTATCGCGTGCCTTGACGCCAAAACCAAGTTTCTTTTATAACAGTTTCCGCTCTCAAATATGCAATTTTCCCCCTCGTTTTCAATTACGATCTATTCTTAATCTTTTTATTTTTGTCATTTTCACCTCTTGTTTTATTTTTTAATTTTTTTTTCCAATGGATATTTATGTTTTAAGGCTTTGTGTCGTCTGCATTACCTTTGCTGTCTTTTTTGCTCAAAGTTTTGCTTAAGTTTTACGCTGCCTTTTTCTAGTTTTTTTCTGTAAAGTTTTACTTGTTTATGTAATTTCATAATGTTCAACCATTGATGCAATATTTTAATTTTCTTCCTCTTGTTTTTCTTCCTTTTCACCATCTTTCCTTTCTTTTTTTACTTCCCGACTCCCTTGACTTTTAATTCGTCAACTCATCTTCTACCTTGTTCTCCTATTTCTTCATCTTTTAATTCTGCGTTTTAAAATATTCTTCTTCTTCTTCTTCTACTACTACTACTACTATTACTATTAATTCTTCTTTTTCTTCTTCTAGATGTTCCTCTTTACCTATTAATTCTTCTTCTTCTTCTTCTTTTTCTTCTTCTCCTTCTCCTGTTAAATCTTCTTCTTCTCTCTTCTTCTCTTATTAATTCTTTCTTCTTCTTCTTCTTCTTCTCAGTCTTCCTCTTCACCTATTAATTCTTCTTCTATCAAATTTTTTTTCTTCTTCTTCTGTTAATTCTTCTCCTTCTCTCTTCTTCTCTCTTCTATAAATTCTTTTTCCTCTTCTTCTCCTATTAATTCTTCTTCTTCTTCTTCTACTACTACTACTACTACTACTACTACTACTACTACTAATAATAATAATAATACTATTAATTTTTCTTCTTCATCTTCTATTAAGTATTCTTCCTGTTCTTGTTCTTGTTGTTGTTCTTTTTGTTCTTCTTCTCACGCTTTCTCTTCTATTAATTTCTTCTTCGTCTTCTTCTTCTTCTTCTAGATGTTCATCTTTACTTATTAATTCTTAGAAGAAGAAGAATTAATATTTTAATATTTTAATTTTATTCTTCATTATTATTATTAATATTTTAATATTAAAATTTTATATCTTCTTTATTATTAATATTTTATTAATATTTTAATTTTATTAATATTTTTAATTTTATTTCTTCTTTTCTCTTCTTCTCTCTTCTTCTATTAATTCTTCTTCTACTACTATTATTATTTCTTCTTCTTCTTCTTCTTCTTTTCTTTTTTTTCTATTTTTTTTCATGGCTTGTGGGTTTTTGCTCTTCTTTTTTCCCTTTTTCTCCTTCATATGTTAATTGTTCTTCTTCAGTCTAACCTTTTTCATTCTTCTTCCTTTTCCTTCTTCATCTTCATCATCATTTCTTCTACTTTCTAGTCTATTTAATCCTTCTTCTTCTAATTCGCTCTACATTTTTACTCTTTCCTCTTAATCCTATTATAATCTCTTCTCAGCCTATTTATCCTTTATTCTTTGTCTTCTTCCTATTTTCTTCCTCTCTTTTACGCTCTCCTCCTCTTCTTTTTAATCTTCTTTAAACACGTCATCATTCGTTCTTTTCTCTGTTTCGCTAAAACTTATGAATAATATTGACTAATATTTTTCCCGACGAATATAAAAGCCCCCTCTTTTCATTCAACACCTCTTCCCGCGTACAGTATCACATACTACAATCAGTAACAGCATAATTGGGTTTGAAGTTTGCGAGCAGGCACCGAGTGAGTCGGAGAGAATTCGTGGTTGGTCTCTTACAGACATGAGAATGACGAATTGGTAAGTATAGGTAAGAAAAAAGACACGCATGTTATGAAACATTTCGTTGTTAGAGAGACAGAGGAAATGGCGAGCATTTAGGAAATACAGTGTGACCCGGATATAAGAGACCCGGATATAAGAGAAACCCGGATATAAGAGAGATTGTCTCTGGTCCCAATTTAGAGCCTGTGTTAATGTATATAAAATAGACCAAACCCGGATATAAGAGTAACCCGGATATAAGAGACTTATTCTCCGGTCCCGACAACTCTCTTATATCCGGGTTACACAGTATTCTTATCTGGACGAAATTTGGAAGAAGAGAAATTCGCATCCTTATTTTCAAATACTGAATAATTTACTCTGTTACTCGATAGATCGCTCGAAGGAATGTAATTCTTTCTACACTTTTACTTTTATGGTGTGAAAATTTCAGATATACTTCTAACGCCTCTGCTTAAACACTAAAATTTTATATACTATTTATTTCTATTTTATTTTTTCCTCAGAAGTATAGGATTGTTATTGTTATAAAACTTTTTTAAAAAAGTCGTTCAAATGTTTGAGGCAACAATAGATTATATGGGCAGATAACAAAGATAGACGACACGAGCTGTCTTTAAATGCAAACGAATAGTTTATTATTTGATGTAATGAATATACATACACCTGGGTCCCCCCTCACAGTAATATGATTGGCTGGTGTCAGCCATAAATACAGACTGATGTGGAGGTACATGGACTACGCCTATCGACTACGCCTATTGTCATCGCCTTATGTCTACCACTACGACGAGGACCAGTCCATTACGGCGACCTGCTAGATTGTCCTACCCGGTTACAGTAAACAACAACCATTTTGCTACTTCGAACAAATATATCCCTTTCCGGGACATAGCATTATTCTTAACACCAAAAATGAATTTCACAAATTGGTGCTTTGTATGCCAATAACATGTATATAAATTATCAATGGAATAACAGCTATATAAATTATCAATTGAATAACGTATATAAATTATCAATGGAATAACAGCTATATAAGTTATCAATTGAATAACATATATAAATTATCAATGGAATAACAACTATATAAATTATCAATTGAATAACAACTATATAAATTATCAATGGAATAACAGCTATATAAATTATCAATTGAATAACGTATATAAATTATCAATGGAATAACAACTATATAAATTATCAATTGAATAACATATATAAATTATCAATGGAATAACAGCTATATAAATTATCAATTGAATAACGTATATAAATTACCAATGGAAGTGCATATATATAAATTATCAATGGAAATGAAATATGCTTTTTTACAGTAAAAAAAGTATAATGCTTTATGAGAATGTAATAATAAAAGGAAACTGTATAAAGTAAAGAAAAAGAAAGTATTTATCTGAATAATTATCTCAAAGAATAATGTTCTACAATTTTCGAATCAAATCCGTGGAAACAGCGAAGAATAGATCAAGTACACCAGCTGAAGACTTTTCTTTGATGACGGAGCGACCTTTGTTGACCCTTTCAATTCTCCTCTCGTGGTTGTCTGATTTTTTTTACGTTGATTTATTTTTGGACCTGGACGGCCCTTATTCCTGCAGCAGATGTTTATCGACTAAAAAAAATTAATTCAAAGAACCTCCTTAAATAGCCTTCACGTAGTCTCCAAATCCACTTCTCAGAATTTGGAGGGAAATCCTTTTATTGTTTTTATTTTATTTTATTTTTTTTTATAACAAACAAATGCAACTTTTTTTCCCCATAAATCAAAATGTACTAAAAATATTTTAGAAATTTAAAATTAAACAAGAGCCTAACACAACGTCTGCTTTTTCTTTGAAAGCCAGACGATTCGCGCCCAAGCAGCTAAAATTTCTTATACAGTGTAACCCGGATATAAGAGAGTTGTCGGGACCAGAGAAGAAGTCTCTTATATCCGGGTTTCTCTTATATCCGGGTTTGGTCTATTATATGTACATTAACACAGGCTCCAATTTGGGACCAGAGACAATCTCTCTTATATCCGGGTTTCTCTTATATCCGGGTCTCTTATATCCGGGTTACACTGTAACATAAATTCACCTATCACCCGGTTGACCCTCCGGATTTTTTTTTATCAGGATTAGAGGTTTTTTCACTACTTCCTGTTCAGGATTGAGTTTCTGGTTTACATTCTCGTAACTCCCAGTAGTCTGTTGTTTTTTTATTTGCATTATCTGATTAATTTGAGTGAAGTAATGTTTTAAAAAAAGAGAGAAAAAAAATTAAATAAATTAATTAATTTCAGAGATACGTAGTTATATTTTTCTCGTATTTTTACAGTTTAACAAAAATTATTGACTAGAAAATGATAAAGTAAAGAATAAATAGGAAACTTTTATCAAGCTAACAATTGTCATTTTTTTTATTAAAGCTTTATCAAAGAATGACATATAGCTTAAAATACAGAAATACCCAACTTACGTTATGAATAACCAGTTTTATTTTACGAAGACGTAATGCATTAACATGTTTTAAACTGAAGACAAACGTGTCAAATCTAACAAAAAATAAATAAAAACCTGTTGCAGATTTGAATCAAACAGCAAAATAAGAAAAAAAAGGTGATTTTAAATATAAAATTATAAAAAGTAATTTTTGTTCATGTTTTTACGACCAAATGTTTCTCGTGAATCAGCGTTAAAGATTTCGTGTTGAAATTTGTTGTTTATAGTTGTTGCTAAGATGAAAAGAAATGTGTGAAACTGGCCGAAGTAATCTCTTTCCAACTGACAAAGTCTCGCCGTACAAGCAGCACCAATTTCACAAACAAACCATTCTGTTTCATGTGGTGTTTTTATGCCGAGCTGATTTCGCAAAAAAAATTTGCATACGCCCAATCACTCTAGGCAATTTTCCTAGCTTCGAGACCATGTCTTTCTTAATTTAAGATGTCAGGGCGGCCATATTTCTTTTTCTCTTCCTTCACTCCTTTTGCATGCCAGACATATACGTGCTCGTTTTGCCACAGAATTTTTCTACACTCCTCCCCTGCTATCATGATCACATAAATGACACGGAGATGGCGGTCGGCTTCGTCGAGTTCTTCTACGTAAAGGTGGATGGGATCCGCCCGTCTCTTTCGCATTTGTGCCCACTTGGTCTCTTTCCTTAAGGGCAGCATTGTCGCCTTCAGCATTTGTTTCTGCACTGAAAAACAGCGGCGAATTTGAATCGACTTCAGACGACATATCACTGCCGTCATCTCTAGGACAGTTACGAGTGAGTTCGACCCTCACTGGGTGCCTCCTACTTTCGGCCTTGTGCCACATCTAACTTACGCTTGGAAATCACTATATTCATCCTGGGTATGAAGATAAACTATATTTGCAGCCTGGGTAAGACGATAAACTACATCCGACAGCAAGGTCTTTGATCAGAAAGTTTCGAGGAGCGCGGAACTACCTCTTAGTTGCTGGTGTTGGCAGGTCCACTCTGACCCGGGGTGGTAGCACCTGTTAGGGTCCCAACTATGGGCAAATAATTAATCCCCAAACTGTGGTGAAAACAATAGGAACGTGTATAAATAGGTTTTAATACTAGCGATATATTTTTGAAGGACAAATATTACCAGTGATACAGTTTTGTATATAATTATTATCAGCAATACATTATTGCCCGCAATATATTTTTGAAGAAAAAAGATGTTACCAGCAATACATTTCTGGAAAAAATATTGCCAGCAATAAAATCTTGTCGGCATTAAATAACCCACTGAGGTCGAGATGCCGTAAACCAAACCAAACCAAATAAGGTATATAAAAGACACTATCGTTTTAACAAAATATTTTTCGCTGAATAATGAATATATACAAGAATTGTATTTCATTTCTTAATTTTAATTAGAATAATT